TTTGGAATGAGAACAGATTATGGATATTTTAGTACAAACTTTCCAGGGACACTTGGCAGCACAGCGAGCAATCTATGTAACACCACCTGCCCCCCCATCCTCTGCCGAGACAGATACCCAACATCAAAGCAGTGGCATTAAAGGGTCTACATGTATTCCTTCCCAATGCCTGTTGGATGGCACGCTGGAATTTTCTAGTGTTAATCCAAGCTAGCGCTGACGCTCATAAATTATTCATTCCTAGTAGGTGACAGGAAAATATAATTATGATTATAAATGCACATTTTTTATAGGAAAAGCCGAGAAATGAATCAATGTTAAATAACCAGCTGTGTTTCGCATGCCTCTTGTATATTGTTGAGACAATTTCTTCATCATCACCTTGACACAGCAAAATGGAAAAGTCCCTAGTACGGATAAAACAAAAAATAAAAAAATCCTAACAAAACGTTAGTGGGTGGGTTCACCAGTGGTGAATGGCAGACTGTAGATATATAATCTAGCGGAAGTTATGTAACAGGTTCACTTTAAACACTTAGGGGCTCGTTTAGAAGGTCCCCTCGGTGATGCCATTCGCACGGCACCAGCACCAGCACCCCTAGGTGGTGTTGGGGAGTAATTCCTATACTCATCAGTGCCACCTAGGGGAGCTAGTGCAGTGTGAATGGCATCTGCTTGGCTATACGTCCCCCCCTATACTCATCAGCCCCTGGTTGGCGCTGATGACTATAGGAATTTCCTACAGTTGTCAGCACTATCTAGATGCGCTGCAGTGGCGTAACAACCGGGGGTGCAGCAGGGGCGCGGGCCCCGGGCAAAAAGTGAAGTGGGGCGCCGGCCGAAAATGGCACTTGCCCAGCAGGGATGAAAGGAATCAGAGAGAAAATGACAGCCGGCCGAGCGCTGCGGGACGAGCGCTGTGAGCGGCCGGTGTCTTTCCTCCCACACCGCTCGGCCGCCTATCACAGTGCAGCAGAGCGGTGTGGGGGCGGAGACAGCCAGCGCTGTCACAGCTGGCTCCCTGTCAACAGCATCCGGGACGGGTGGAACTTTTACAAAAGAAACCCCAAGTCATAGCTTACACAGGGCTATGGACTCTACTTATGTGCCAGTGCTAGTGCTTGTTGATTGGCCCAGTGCTGTCACATGGAGTGAGTCACATGTTCCTCAATACCTGGAAGTATTGGGTATTTTCTTTGCTCCTGGCTGAATGGAGCAGTGGGGGGCTGAAGGAAACGTGATAATATGTTGATGAGGATGGGAGAATTCAAGAAACCAGAGGCTTTGCTCTGCATGGAGAGAGCACAAGTATTCTTTAAAGTAACTATTTTCTACAGAGACTGAAGCCACTCCTAACAGAGGTACTACGGCCATCATGTTGAGAACATTTCCATTGGTACCTTCAATAAAAACTGCATGAGCCTATAAATGCTGGCATGCAAATAGAGGGAGTGAGCCTCAAAGGCTAAGAGATGAACATCAAGGGAGACGCAATGCTTTGAAGCATGGGAACCAACCTATGGGCACATACCCTAAAAAGACTAAAGCTCCAGAATAGAGCTGGCATAAGCTAAATAGGCCCAGAACAAAAAAATTGAACCATTGTATATTAAAAGACAGGCAGAAAAACAATAACCTAATCATGATCATGATTAAGTGGTCAGGAACATGAAATGAACTTATACTGGCCATACTTATATATTTCTTTTGTTCAGACATTCTAACGGGATTCCTCCATCCAAGCCAAACAGCATGGATGGAGGTATTTCCCGTCGGGCTAATGTTTTTTGACAACCAGGGCCCACCACTGTCAGAATACCCAAACAATGAGTGCAGTTCATAGGCTGTAGTTACTGTTCAGCCAACAATTTTCCACCTGGCTCCTTTGACAAAAGTCAACTGATATTGCGACATTGCAGACAAAGGGAGGGAGTGGTGGTCACTCAATAGCTGTGACCACCACTCCCCCATCTCAGGTCAATCAGTGGCGGCAGTTGTGGAAGGGGCATTCCTCGCCCCTGTGTGATGTATAGATGTGTAAAGGGGAATGTGCCTCTTTGAAACTGATTGGACCAGGAGGGGGTAGTGACAGAAACAGTTTTGAGCGGGCTTGGGCATACTGGGTTTGCTCAAAGCCAGGGCTTGTCACTAATGGACCCCAATGGAGGAGCTTCCCTTTGAAGCATGGACACGACCTCCGGGTGCATACCCTAAAATTAAAGACTGGACCTCCAGGCCAGAGTAGACGTAGGCCTTATAGGCCTAGAAAAAGAAAATTATCCAGAAACCAGGGTGTATTCAAAGCGCGGCAGACAAACAACAACCTAATCATGATCATGGAATCAACTAAATGTGAAAAGGCTTGGAGCTGTAAGAAAACAAAGAACTGATGAGTAAACATAAGAAATGTTTTCAGCTCTACAAAAAGAGATGGAAAGGAGAGAATATAATCAGATCACCAGAATGCCAATTACTGTACAATGACGGAGGTTCAGGTACAGGTTTTATAGTACACGAGGATTGTAAACCATCAAATATCGACTTTAGCCCCGTCAACGAGGAAATATGTGCGCTCGGAATGGAAGGAGAGGTTTTAATACCAACATGATCAGTGAGCATGCACCATTGAGGTCAAGGATGAGTTTTATGAGAAACTGGAAGATACATATAACAAAGCTGCCATAAATGATATAAAAATAATAATGGTTAGTTAAACATTGAATGGTCAACGAATGTCACAGTTACAATAAGCTAGAAAAACAGATTTGTGCCAGGCAGAGTGCTCCATAATGCTGAAAGTATGTTTTCAAAGCCCATCTACAGCAAAAATATTTGTGCTTTTTGTGCTTTTTTGTTTTGGACAGAGCAGGAAATGGTTGAGATTTGTTTTGAGATGTTGAGAATTGTTGAATCTCTGTTGAGATTTTATTGCCATCTGTGTGCCTCTTGCAAAGTTTTCCCCTTCACTTCCTATAAGGGCAGGGCCACATCTCCTGGAGCATCTGCTCTAGGTTTAAAGAATAGGAGGCTACAATGCTAGAAGTCACTGTTGGTGGGAACAGGGTGAGCTGAGCTGTCAAGTCACTGCTGGAAAGGGGGAGCAGAGCTGCTGATTCACTGCTGTGAGGGGGGAGCAGGGAGAGTTGAGCTAATGAGTCACTGCTGGGAACGGAGAGCATAGAAAGCTGGGCTGCCGAGTCCATGCTGGAATGGGGGAGCAGGGAGAGCTGAGTTACTGCTGGGAGAGTGGAGCAGAGGGAGCCAAGTTGATGCGTTACTGCTGGGAGAGTGGAGCAGAGGGAGCTGAGCTGCCGAGTCTATGCTGGAATGGGGGAGCAGGAAGAGCTGAGTTGCTGCTGGGAGAGTGGAGCAGAGGGAGCTGAGCTGCCGAGTCTATGCTGGAATGGGGGAGCAGGAAGAGCTGAGTTGCTGCGTTACTGCTGGGAGAGTGGAGCAGACGGAGCTGAGCTGCAGAGTCTATGCTGGAATGGGGGAGCGGGAAGAGCTGAGTTGCTGCGTTACTGCTGGGAGAGTGGAGCAGACGGAGCTGAGCTGCAGAGTCTATGCTGGAATGGGGGAGCGGGAAGAGCTGAGTTGCTGCGTTACTGCTGGGAGAGTGGAGCAGACGGAGCTGAGCTGCAGAGTCTATGCTGGAATGGGGGAGCGGGAAGAGCTGAGTTGCTGCGTTACTGCTGGGAGAGTAGAGCAGAGGGAGCTGAGTTACTGCTGGGGAGGAGAAACAGGGAGAGCTGAGCTACTGAATACATGCTGGGAAGGGGGAGCAGAGAGAGCTGAGCTACTGAGTATA